TAGCTAAATATAGCCCATTTTGTTTTACCATTTGCCAGTTGATAGTTATTTGGGTTGTTTACATGTTTTAGCTATTATAAATAATGCTGCCATTAATGTGTGAAAGTTTTTGTATCAATATATATTTTCATTTGTCTTGGATAGAGATGTAAAAGTAAAATTGCTGAGTCATACAACTCCATGTTTAGCATTTTGAGGACTAGCCAAACTGTTTTGCATAGTAGCTGCACCATTTTGCATTCCTACCAGCAATGCATAAGTGATACAATTTCTTCTTGTTCTCACCAATACATGATAGTGATAGTATCTCTTTGATTACATCCATATTAATGGGTGTAAAGGAGTATTTTGATATAATTTTTGTTTGCATTTCTCTAATGAGTAACATTGTTGAACATTATTTCATGTACTTGTCTTTGTATATCTTCTTTGGAAAGTATCTATTTAAGAATTTTGCCCATTTTTAATTGGGTTATTGCCTTTCTGCTATTGAGTTATGTATTAGTTCATTTTCTATAATGAAATTTATCTCTGTTGATAAATTTATGAGGTAAAGGGATTTAATTTACTCACACTTCTGGATGTTCAAGGACATAGTACCAGGATAAACAGGTCTGGTGAGGATCTTATGGTGGATAGTATCAAAATGGTAGAAGTACATGTGAGAGAGAGAGAGATCACATAGTTGTCTGGAAGTCGAAGACAATAGGGACTGGCCAGACTTGTTCTTTTATAACAACTCTTTCTTGAGAACTAATTCAGGATCTCTTAAGAACTAGCTAATCCCTTTTGAATGTAGTATTCCCAGTGACCTAAACATCTCTATTAGGCCCCACCTCAAGTGTTCCATGTTATGTCTCAACATTGCTACGCTGGGATCAAATTTCCAATATATAAACAGCTGAGGGACACCATAACATCATGCCCCTGGTCTGTAAGATTCACATTCGTCTCATAATACAGAATGTATTCATTCCATGCCAGTAATTCAAATTCTTACCTTCCATCATCAATTAAAAGTTCAAGTCCAAAAGTTTATCTGAGATCTAAGACAAACTTTTTCCAGCAAGGAGCACTTGCAAAAACAGGAAAAAAAAATGTTATATACTTTCAAAATCCAGTGGAAGAACAGATATAGGATAAACATTCTTATTTCAAATGGAAGAAATAGGCAAGTATAAAGAAGTAGTTAATTCAAAGCATGCCTTAAACTCAGTAAAGTGGACATTAAATCTTAAAGTTTAAGTCTGGCATTCTGTTCAAATTGTTATGGGGGAGGGCTATGTTAGTCAGATTTCTGTCACTATAACAATCTATCTGAGATAATTAACTGAGAAATAAAGGTTTATTTCACCTCCATTTTGGAAGTTCTAGTTAATGTTGTTTTGCCCTGTTGCTTTTAGGCCCTGTTGCTTTTAGGCTGGTTGTGAGGCAGTTCAAAATGGCAGTAGCAAGTGGCAGGGTAAGACCTCCTTAGCTTATGACTAGGAATGAGGAGTAGTCTGGCTAAACACTCTATCTCTCAAAGTTATGCCCTCAATTATCAGGAGACCTGATAGTTAGGCCCTACCTCTTAATGGTCCCACCTTCTCTCAATAGCACCACCCTGGGGACCAAGTCTTTAACGCAGAGGTCTTTGGGGGACATCCAAGATCCAAACTATAGCAGTCTCCACAACTTTGTGCAGCCCCACCTCTATGACTTTGCTTGTCACAGGCCTTGTGCTTACTCTCTCAGGTTGCATCTTCACAATGTGTAGAGCTTTCTCCAGCAAGAACTGTATGTTGTCATTACTCTACTTTTTGAGGTCAGCAGTCACCCTAATGACTCCACTTGGTATGGCCTCATAATTTTTGCAGGGGCTTATACCTGTGGCAAACTTCTGCCTGATCCCCAGACTCTCCTTTAAAATCTTGCATTTTGTATGCTTGCAAAACCAGCTTCATGTTGATGCTACAAGGTCCACTACTAGCTTGAGTGTAAGGAATGACTTGTACCTGAGAGGGAGCCATAGAGGGCTTCACTGACTCAATCCAAGGAAATGAATCCTGGGGCAGTACTGGGCAACATTCCCATGGAGAGCTCCCTGGGATAGGTTCCTGAAACAATTATGCCTTTCCTGTCCTCTAAAATATGATGGAGGGGTAGCCTCAAAGGTTTCTTTGATGCCATTGGATTTTTTTTCCTCATGGTCCTGGTACAAAGTAACTGATTCCCTTTTATCCATGCTAATTATGTTAGCAAACAGTTACAGGCTTCACCCTAGTATTTTTCTACTGAATACACTTTTCCACTCTGTTTTCTAGGTAAATCTTTCCCAAATCTTTCCACTCTGTTTATTTTTTATTTCAAGTTTCATTGTAAATTTGACTATAAGCAGTCAATTATACCTATTCTGCAGCCTGAATGCTTTGTTGTTTTGAACTATCCTCCACTAAATAAACTAGTTCATCATTCTTTCATAAAGTTCTAAGGCATGGACACAATGCATTGAAGTTCTTTGCAATTGTGTAACAAAGATGATCTTTTCTCCAATTTCCAGTTGAATCATCCTTTTCATCTGAAACCATTTCTTAGTCTTTTCATCTTTGAAGCACTTTCTTCCTATCACCCAGTTCCAAAGCTATCTCAATGTTTTCAAGTATAGTTATAGTATCAACCTCATTCCTTGGTACTGGTTTTCTGTTTTCTGTAGCAGTCCATTTTCTGTTACTACAATGAAATACCTGAAGCTGGGTAACTTTATTTATGTAAATGATTTTATTTAGTTCTCAGTTATGGAGCTTCAAGGACATGTTGCCACTGTCAGCTTGGTGCTGGTGAGACTATTGTGACAAATGGAGTCACAGTGGAAGAAGTTCATCTGAGACCAAGGGGATCATTTGCTTGTTAGTCAGGAAGCTACAAGAGGACAGAGAGTGGCAGGGCTTTCAACAAAACGTCAGCTTTTTGTTGCTGTAAACAGAATAACTAATGTAAACAATTTAAAGGAAGAAAAGTTTATTTTGTTTGATGGTTTCAGAGATTTTAGTCCCTGCTTAGCTGACTCCATTTCTCTAGGTCTGAGGAAAGCTAGAACATCATGGCATAAGAGCATAGAGAAGGAAAGCTTCTCAGCTTATGGTAACCAGGCAGTGTGTGGTGGGGGTGGGCGAGAGCAAGTGTGGGAATGAGCAGGGGGCAGAGAAGGAGCTGGGACAGGAGATAGCCTTCCAGGTCACACCCCCAATGACCTACTTCCTTCAACCATACGTGCTGATTACAGTTTCTGCCTCCCAGTGGTTCATTCAATCATCAATGGATTAATCCACTGTGGAGGTCAGAACCCTCATGATCCAATCATTTCCCCAAAGCAAAAGCTCAGACTTGAACATTGCTGCATGTTCAGATATATTGCTGATACATCAACATTGCTGATTTAAGTTCCTCGTCAGACATATCATTTTCAAATATTTTTCCCAGTCTATTTATTGTCTTCACTTTCTTGATAATGTCCAAAGCAATTTATTAGGCCTCCAAATACAAGTTCATTTTTCTGAGCACATTTGTTAAACTCATTGTCTCTTCAATATTTAAAGTGATTTGTAAATACAATGAGGTTATACTATAAAAGGAAATCACAGGAAGAAGAACATGTACGACATTAATAATGCATCTAGAAGGAGGAGTCTAAAGGTGACTTGCTGTGACCTGCATCATTGATCTTCCACTGTGTAATGGAGGTCTCATTCTCCCAACCTCATAATATATCTTCCTGGTTCCAGTCTTCTTCATCCCCATATTAGAAGTTATTAAACTTTTGATTTCCTATGATGCTTGTAATGTTAACAAAGCCAATAAAGCATTGAGAAAAACTAGTCATGTCAGAAAATAGAAAGAATCAAGGCTAAAAGGAGGTTTTTGATGATGTAGGGATCGGCATATGTTGCATATGTTTTTGAAAGGCAGAAGAGAAGGAATCTGTAAAACTTGAAAATCAAAGTAACCCCCAAAGAGAAGGGATCACTGCTGGAACACTGTCAAAGTTCCTATGGATGGGAATTGGATCAAGACCATGAAGAGAACGAGAGCCTTGAAAGAAGAAGGCACCATCAGCTGGAGTAAAATGGGGCAGTCACTTGACATTAGGACTTTCTCATCAAGAAAAAGGGTTGTAACAAAGGTAGTAGGAAACCTTTGAAAAAAACCCAAGCAACAATTTGATAGTAACGATGCATATATATTAATCAAAAATATTAATATTCCTGGGTGGGGTGCGTACTCCTATAATCCAAGTGACTTGAATACTCACCTAGCATGCTCAAGGCCCCGGGTTCAATTGTCAGTACTGAAAAAAATATGAGTGATTAATGTCCCTGTCATTGCAATAGGTGCTTTAGCAGCTACAGAAGACAGAATCTAAATTTTTCTTAAGGCACTTATAACGTAGTTGTAAAATAATCTAACGTAGTCATTAAAATATGCACACAAGTTACTGATATCAAGGCGGTAGTATAGGTTGTATATGTGGTAAGAATGAACAAAGGAAAGAAAATTACAAGCTAGGATAGTTGATAGAGGGAGACTTAGGTTTTGAACTCTATCTGAAAGGATGATATCTACACCTTTGATTCTGCCCTCCGGATGGCTTCTTCAGAACTTCTAACATGCGTTGGAACATGAATAGAAGGGCTAAGTAATGCATAGTGTGCTCTTTGTACTCTCAGAGCTCCTCAGGGTCAGTGAAAAACCGTAAGATTAGGGCATTGTAAGGTAGAAAATTTTGATTCTATAAAATGATGCTTTTCTTTGTTTTCAGGCAAGAAGGGGGCTTTGGTAGGGGGAGAAACTGTTTCTTCTAGGGGGAGAACCTGTTTCTTCCATGGAAATTGACTTAATTTCTTCTGGTCCTATCTCTAAGAACGCATTTTTTTCCTTTGAATATTCTTTCCAGTACAAGTTAAAACGAGTAATCAAAGGAGAGATGGGGAATGGATCTTATAATTGTCTTTTCTCTGCAGAATCTGAGTGTCAAGGAGGACAAAATCCAGCAGATGAATCCTACAAATTTTGAAATGATTGAAGACATGCTAATGCTGACTCACTTCAAAGAAACATCTGTGCTACGTACCCTTAAGAGACGTTATGACCGTTGGATGATCTATGTATGTATATCTGTTTACTGATAAAATATCATGCCCGCACTCACTTCTCCTAGGGGATATTTTACATTTAACTAATGCATACTTACATAGGAACTGTGTTTGAGGAACACCCTTTTGGGAGGGAATCATCTTAGCATTTCCTCAATTTTATTTTGTCAGCATTCATGTTTCTTCCCACAGGTCATTTGGGTAAGTTAAAAGCATAAGTCTTAGATCCTGGTAGGCCAGGTTAACTCTGTTCCTTATCAATTAAGTTTCTCAACTTCTTTTTTTTAACCTTTATTTTATTTATTTATTTATTTATTTATTTATTTATTTATTTATTTATTTATTTATATGTGGTGCTGAAGATCGAACCCAGGGCCTCACATGTGGTAGGCAAACACTCTACTGCTGAGCCACAACCCCAGCCCCCTCAACTTCTTTTTAAGAAATTTTTGTGAGTGGAAATTATATTTGAGCTGTTTTTCTTTTGACATAGTTTATGGGGTTTGCTTGTATTCATGAATATGCACACAACATATTTATACACACATGAATACCTGTGTGGAGATAGATAATCATTTATTCAATACTCCTAAAAGCAGTTACTGAGTATCTTACATGGCAATCTCTGCCTGGACATTAGAGAAAGAAATGAGCGGAACCCCTAAAGTGTACATGTATCGATGATAGAAATTGTTATCCTGGTCATCAGAAAGTTTATGCATTATAGTGACCATTAGACTGTGAGCCCACTAAAGACACACCAAGTTTCTGTTGTGCTTTGATTTTCCTACCAGGTGTGCAATAAACACATATTTAATGAATCACTTAATGAAAAAATAACATGCTTCATTTATAGGCCCAATGGTAATAATGAATACCACAGTGTTCATCAACCTTTGTCTAAACTCTGTTCTAGGGCTTAGAATATGCACAATATAAACATATTTTTGGGGAGCCATAATTCAACCACTTCAGTGACAGACTGACCCACAGGAGCTATTTATTTTCTCTCGGTGTTAATCTTTCTGAGACAGAGATTCCCTTCTAGCCTCAAATGTCTGATGGCTACTTATCAAAATTCCTGCTGTTAGTGTTCTCTTTGTCTTCAAAAGCTGTCTGTATTAGACATGTTAGCAGTTAGTAGATATTTTACTCAGTTTTGCTTTGCTGTGACCAAAATATTCAATTAATGCAACTAGAGTTCATAGTTAAGAGGTTTAGTCCATGGTATGGCAATACCATTGCTCTCGGCTCAATTGAGACAGGACATCATGGTGGAAGGGCACGGCAGATAGTTAGGAAGCAGAGAGAAAAAAAAAAGGGAATGTGCCACAGCAAATATGAACCTTTCTAGGGCATGCCTCCAGTGATCCTCCTCCTCCAGTCATGCCCCACTTGCTTACAGTTACCACTCAGTCCATTTAAACTAAAATGAACTGATTAGGTTACAACTCTCATAATCTAATAATTTTACCTCTGCATTAACATAGGAGCTTCTGGAGGACACCTCATATCTATACCATAACAGCAAATCTCTCAAGGAAGAGGTAGTACCAGGTCCTTATGTTAGTCTAACCTGTATCTTCCAGTTAGAAGTCCCTTCTTTATTAGAATCTAAAAGTTCTCTTCTTTTGTATTCCTTTGTGAGTAAATAGTTGATCAAATGTTACCTGACAGGGCAAGAACTGACAAGCTTGAATGTATTTTAATCTATTTTCTGAAATCTGCCTTGATCTTTCCTCAGACATATTTAGGTCTCTTCTACGTGGCCATAAACCCTTACAAGTGGCTTTCTGTGTATCAGAAAGAAGTTGTACCTGCCTACAAAGGGAAGACGTGCTTGAAGGCTCACATCTTTGCTTTTGCTGATAATTTCTTTCAGGATATGCTTCATATAAGTAGCTGCCCGAGAAAATGAAAAGCAAAACCATCTGATCTGTGATTTCTCTGTCACCAAGTGGCATGTAAGCATTGTGTGCAGAGCCTGGCCTTTACAGGTATCTAATATGGAGAAGCCCCTCTTTCCTCCTGGATAATATGTGGGCAAAATAGTGCATATCTCCTAGGCTTATTGGGACAATTAGCTTAGACTTCAGAGTGAAATAATGCATTTATAGAGTTGTGGCTGATGACTGGCCCAGAGTAAACACCCTTTAGATATCAGCTTTCATCACACAAAGCATCTACTGTATTGTTTGACACATAGAAGTTATTCTATAGCTCTTATTAAACATTCTTAAAAGGCTTAGAATTGCAAAAATATAAGCCATTACCTGTTTTCCATTTATGAAAGCAAAAAATAACTGAAATGGAGAACAGACCTCAACCGATCAGCAAGCTTTCTTTATTAAGCAGCAGAAAGACACATTTTCAGGAGAGAAAATGACAACGGGTTACAAAAGGGGTCTGATTTTTATAGAGTTTAGAGAGACTTAATCATTAACAGAATGTGTTGGTTAGGCAGTCAGGGAAATAGTTGTGCAAGTTCAAAGACCATTGTTGCTGTGAAATGGTGAAAATTCAGAGCCCATTATTTGCCTTCTCTCCAGAGGTTGTTGTTCTCCTTTTTCCCTGGGGGTTGTCGTTTTCCATATCCTTCAATTTATGTTTAGAGAAGACAACAGGCCTGGAATTTATATGTTCTTATGACTTTTTTATGTACATAGGGAAATCTATTTTTTCTACCCTATTTAAATGTTTTTTTAAACTAATTAAATGAAACAAATACTTTCCCTTGTTCCTGACTTCAAACTGCAGCCAAGGAAATTGTGTATAAATTCATGGAAATAAAAGTGCCTATAGCATAAGAATATTTTGACATTTTTCTTTTCTTTTCTCTTTTTTTTTCTTTTTCTTTTTGTGTAGAGCAAGAGAACCAGTTTATACTCTTCATAAAAGTGTTTGCCATGTTTTTTTGTTTTGTTTGGGGCCTGCACTAAGTTTCAGTGGAAAGAGATATGTTTCACTGAGAATAAAACTTAAATTTAACACCTATGAATTGTTTGATTTTTGGATGTAGAATATATTCTATGTAAAAATAAGATACTCAGCAAGTTATCATAATGCTTCAGTCAGTGATTACTTCAATTATAGTATCAGGTAGTCTGGCTCCATCATTTCAACCGACACTTTAGAAACCATAGTACACAAGCTGTGTTCTATTTTTCCAAATGATCACATTCAAAGATCTCTGTACTGACTAATAAAGAAGATGGACTGAAAATTCAGTGGATGGGAACACAGAACAGAAAATATGCTGTCATGGGCAGCTAGTGTGGGGCAGGACAAGGTACTGTAAGTAGTGGTATTATTGAAAGCTCAGTCTTGTTCCCGGTGCCAATCCAAATAATGAGGACAATGCTTTGAATAAAAGGATAAAGAAGTTTTATTGATTTGCCATCAAATGAGGAGGGCAGCAATCTAGTGTCTTAGGAGCTACTGTCCCCCTCCCAAAGGGAAATAAAGGGATTTATAAGGAAATTCAGGGAAGGGAAGGAGAGGAGAGGGAAAAAAAAGAAAAAAAAATCACTTTTAAAATAAGCCACCTGCTGGTCAAGAAGCAGAATACTCAAAGCAGGAAGTGAACCACTGTTAGAGTGAAAACTAAAAAATGTGGCTCTGAAGGAAAAGAGAGTGAAGAGGAAGGAAGGACAGGGTCTTAGTAATACCTTTTTATATGTTAATTTTGATGAAAATAATGCTGGCAGGACAGGTGAATATCACCAGGTGACAAAGACCCACCCCTGTAAGGTGCTCAGGTACTTGGCTTTCCCATGCAATGATGATGTCACTTTGTGTGTTGGGCTCCTCATTGGCTTCTGCTATCCCAGGAGGGGTACATGGTCTCAGAATCACAGCACTAGATGAGTAGTTCGACTTCAGCCTTTTGTAGATATATAGGCCTGTTCCTCAAAGGAAGGTCTTTGTCCTATGATACTGTAGGTAATATAGAGTTAGCAGGGTATGAAATGTAAAGGGGGAAGCCTAAAGCAAAATTGCTTGGTGAAAGAATTGGTGGATGTTTTTCTGAGAAGAGGATTGGATTTGATCAAAATTACTTAATTTCCATCACACTGATAATCAGAACTAGTTAACTGAGTCACTGAATTTCAAACCACAGAGTAGAATCTGGTGCTAGAAAGATTATGGACACCAAAAATTTTGCAATATTTTGCTACCATAGTCACCATGAGTGATACCAGGAAAAAGCTGGTAAGCGTTCAAATATCATGGCAGGAAAGGTGAAATGGCTCTATCCACTGGATCATGGCAGCTTTGCCATGACCACCTGAGGGGTAGGTGGAAATAACCACAGAACAATTAGTAAAGTTAAGAAAAGTCTTGTTTTATATTTTTCCTCTACCCCTTGAGAGGATCTTCAAGTGCCCTATACTAATAGTCTGATAATTAATGTAATTTCAGATCTGCTTCAAGCCAGATCCTGTTGGTTCAATCCTTTTTAAATTATGCCCTTAAGATCCAAGCTATCTGACTTCCTTCAATGGCCACTTTTGATATTTCTTAATTTCATTGGCTATAGTATGATGTCAGATTTCCACAAATATGCACAAAAGAAGTGTGCTTCCTTTGCTCCTAACTCCTGTTATCAAATCCTGATTTCTTGATGCATATACTCTCAACTTTAATCACAATCCATGTTCTGAAAAAATTTATTTTTCTATTTTTGATCCTTGGCAATTTTTAATTTAGCCTACTTTGTTTAGCCCTTGATAGGTTAGTGGGCTTTTATATAATAATTTAAAGATAACTAGACCATTAAATTTGGTATGTAAAACAAAATTAGGTAATATTGAGTATAACTCAAAATTAGTGAATTATTGAACTGCTAAACTTAAAACCTTTTCACTTTTGGCTTTATTAGTTTGCTTTTTCAGCTTCATTCTGGATGTTGCCAGCTGTTTTTGCTAATCAAGAAGTATTTCAAAATAGCCATCTGGTTCATCTTTAATCTATAGAAATTACTTTTCCAACCAACCACCATATTTCTGAATTTGATTGATTTCTACTATTTGAACTCTACTATTTTCTAGATAAAAATTTGTTTTAGCATGCATTTTAGGCTTATGTGTGTGTGTGGGGAGGTGTGTGTGCTAATGGGTAGGTCTAGCCATTGAATGTATGATGATACATAATACATAACACTTCATAATACATAACACTTCTGTGAAAGTCTTTGCTCATATAGCCCTTTTACTTATTTAAAGGACATTGAATGCATATTATTTAGAAGGGATATAATATTTGTAACTCTACACATTCTTGAATACCATATTTTATGTAATTATTTCCATAAAATGGATCTTTGAGGACGAGTAGAAAACCACAAGACATGATGAAATGTGGCCACTGGCTGGTCATTCAGGTTTACTCTGTGTAGATGACCTGTTTGGTCCCATTTGTCTGAATGTGCCTAAACAAATTCAAGGTCAGTACCATTACAAGTCACTGCTTGGTGTGAAACTCTAGATTATTTAGGAATAGCAGGAAGTAAAAATATAGTTTAATAATGGCAAAAGTCTGTTATATTATCCCAGGATATCATTCCAGGCATGAAGGTTGAGAGGGAAGACAGGAAGATTAACAATGGAGAAATATTATGGAATGAAGTTTGTGTGGAAATAGAATGTGGTATTTTTGTTTTGTTTTGTTAAATAACCACTTTATCTTCCCACTCAGGCTAATAATGATTAAAACCAATTAATGAGCTTCCATATGTAATCATAAGAGCATTACATTGTCTTTCATCCATCTGTTTTTTCTGAATCTCCATCCCCCAAAAAACATTTTATGACCAAGTTTGGAAGGAGTTTTTAGCTACTGGTTATTAAAGCAAGACTGGTGATGAACCTGGAAATGGAGGGCTTGTCATATTATAAAATTCTAATTAAAGTTAATCAGTTGTAGTTATATTTCTTTTTTATGCTTCTCAAGGACTTTAGGAGTTCTAATCATGCAAGTGAATCCTATCTTGGAAGCATTTGGGAAATTTCAGACCTTGAGAAATGACAATTTCTCTTGTTTTGTAAGTAACATAATTATCATAATATCAGAATCTTTAATTTTTAAGCAATGGTAAAACTCATGTCTAAACACATGAAAAAAATCTAGAATTTCAGAGAAAGTCTTTTAAAGTCTATAGTAGTAGGGTTAGATGCCTGAAAAAAATTAACTTTCTTCATTGCTAAAATAATTAAAACTACCTATAAATATGTGTTTGAGCAGCTCTGATTTGGTCAATTTCAGGAAGAAAGTATTTATCTTAATAGTTTGAACTATCTTTCCCCTCCAAGGAGGAAAGCTCATTTTTTTGTATTATAGTAAATTCATATTAAATTTTACATATTTGTAAATTCTAAATAATTTTCAATATTCCTCATTACAAGGAATTTAATAGGTATTTTCTAATTTTCTTATTGTGATTATTCTTTCTATTCTTGCCTGTAGCCTCCATATATCTGTATATTTTCCCAGAGGAATTTTTAATTAGGAAAATATTTTTATGTACTTTTTAATAACAGAAGTCCCATGACAGAAGAAGAATTTTGATTTTTAAAATCTAATTTTACAAATGCATTTTATGTCATGAATGAGAGCAAGGAGTCACCATATAATTTACAAGCAAATTTAAAGAAGGCTTTCTGTTTGAGTCTCTGGGCATAATTAAACAATGACCTCATGCTGATGTGCCTAATTGCCATTCAAAATCTTAGAGTTGCCCTGTCCACACTTATATTTACTTGTAGTATCTACCTGGTCACAGTAGGTACTAATAACTGGTACATAAACAACAGCTAAATTTGAAATTTGTTGGAGTGCTAAGAAATTTTCTGCTGAAAGATGGAAAGCAGAAACAAGAATAAGAAAAAGATGGAAGGGGGGATTTGTAGAAAGTTAAAGAAAAGGAAGAAAGGAAAGAAAAATAAAGTAGAAAAGAAAGAAACTGAAAGAGAATAAGAAAAAACAAATTTAGAAGAATTGTAAGTAGTCGAGAACTAAACAAACATAAAGATAGGAAGGAAGCAATGAAGAAAGGGAGAAGGAAAGAGAGAAAATCAAGAAATCAAAGTTAAATTCTTTTAATTAATGCTCTGCATGTATGTAGACATATATTTAAATGTATATACATACACATATACATATGTACATACTTGTATGTGTTCAATTATACATGTGTATGTTTGTGTGCGTGGCTCCCATTGTCCTACATTTTTTAACTTACTAGCTCAATCCCTCAGCACGTAGATACTCTCCTGCTGCTGCCAGGCTGCTGTCCTCTTCTGTGCCTTTCTGGCAGGGTGTGACCTCCATCAGGCTTATGGCTTTTTGTAAAGGAAGGAGCAGTGCCCTATTGTTGTTTATGCCAAGGTATGTTTTGAAAATAAATCATATCACATAACTACTCTTCTTAAAATTTCTAAATATCTTTGAGTACACATGAAATGAACCCCTTCTCTTTACTGTGTCCTACATGTTTCATACAATATGGTTCTAATCTGTCTTTTAGATTGTCATATATTTTATTTTCTCTTATCTGCTAAAACACAATACAACTGGATTTTCTTTAGAATTTAAAACATACCAAATATTTTTGTGTTAGAACTATTGTAGCAGCTACTTACTCTTCAGAATACACACTTCAAAGGGGTAGGGGTCATGTAGGTTTCTCTTATGTAGTATCTCTAGTGCTTAGCAGGTTTTCTGGATTCTAGCAGATTTTCAATAAATGTTTGTTGAATGAATGGATAAATGAAGAAGTATGCTGAAAAATATTATATTTCTCAATTTTAAATAAGAATATTGGGACACCTAGAGATTCCATGGTGCGTTCAAGAATATACGGTAGCAACAGATAGATCTGAATAGAAATCAGGACCACTCTAGTTCTGGCAGTTGTTCTAGCTCCCTCCAAACATTAACTGGTTCTATATCCTCTCAAGCCCATGTTGTAGGGTTTTTTTGTTTTTGTTTTTGTTTTTTTGGTACTGGGGATTGAACCCAGGGGTACTTAACTACTGAACCACATTCCCACTTCTTTTTGGTATTTTATTTAGAGACAGGTCTTAAGCTGAGTTGCTTAGGGTCTGATAAGTTGTTGAGGCTGGCTTTGAAGTTGTGATCCTCCTGCCTCAGCCTCCCGAGCTACTGGGATTATAGGTGTGTTCCACCACATCCAGCCTATGTTCCATGTGTTTGAATCTTTTGGGGAAATATTCACTTTGAGAATTATATGTATAATGAAACTATTGTGATTGTTTGGAAGTTTGAATAGGAAATTGAGTTCTGTGTTCAGCTAGGGAAAATTCATCAGGATGAACTTTGATATGAGAGGTGTACTATTATATGCCAACATTAAGATCTGTAAGTCACCATTGTGGTACTTGATTAGTTTTTCTTTTCTTTTTTCTTTTTTTATTGGTTGTTCAAAACATTAAAAAGCTTTTGACATATCATATTTTATACATTAGATTCAAGTGGGTTATGAACTCCCATTTTTACCCCAAATACAGATTGCAGAATCACATTGGTTACACATCCACATTTTTACATAATGCCCTATTAGTA